CAGCATATCATACGGGCGCTGGTTCAAGTCCTGGCTGCTCCTTTTCTGATCCAGCTCCCTGTTAATGGCCTGAGAGAGCAGTGGAGGATGGCCCAAGTGCTGGGGCCCCTGCACCTGCGTGGGAGACCTAGGAGAAGCTCCTGGCTCCTGGCTTCGGATCGGCTCTGCTCCAGCTGTTGCGGCCATTTGGGGAGTGAACCAGGGGATGGAAGACTTTTCTTTCTGTCTCTCCCTCTCTCAGTCTGTAACTCTGCCTCTCAAAAATAAATAAATAAATCTTAAAAAAAAAAAAAAAAGAATTTCAGCCGGCGCCGCGGCTCACTAGGCTAATCATCTGCCTTGCGGCGCCGGCACACTGGGTTCTAGTCCCGGTCAGGGTGCCAGATTCTGTCCGGTTGCCCCTCTTCCAGGCCAGCTCTCTGCTGTGGCCCGGGAGTGCAGTGGAGGATGGCCCAAGTGCTTGGGCCCTGCACCCCATGGGAGACCAGGAGAAGTACCTGGCTCCTGCCTTCGGATCAGCTCGGTGCGCCGGCCGCAGCGCGCCGGCCGTGGCGGCCATTGGAGGGTGAACCAACGGCAAAGGAAGACCTTTCTCTCTGTCTCTCTCTCTTACTGTCCACTCTGCCTGTCAAAAAATAAAAAAGAAAAAAAGAAAAAAGAATTTCGTACAGTGTACCACCAGCCTGGGAAAAGGTCAAAAAGCGAGTCTGGTCTCCACTGACCGCATACCACTTTACTCGTTTGTGAAGCTGGAAAATCATACATGGAACCACTGTGAGTTGGGGACCTGTAGGGTTTGAGCGCTGTAACTGAATGGTGCCCATCTCACCATGCTGACAAGGTGATGAGAATTACATGTTAATGAAAAGAAGGAAGGGGCTCTAGAGTGGGTAAGGCCACGAGTTGGAGGAGAGGAGTCAGCAGTTACCCTGTGCTACAATCTGGGCACCAGCCCAGGCACAGGGGAGAAGGAGTGAACCACGTGGGCCTCAGCTGAAGCGGGCAGTGCCTAACCCAGGGGCAGAACGCGGCGCACTGCAGTGCCAGACACGAGGTCAAGGCCGTGCTAAGCACAAGGTCAGACCTGGTGGGAGGCAGTCTTACCACAACCTGGCTGTCCCGAGGGCGGCCTGTGGATCTGCAGCCTTGGTGTCTCCTGGCTCCCTCCCAGACCTACCGAGTCTGCATTTTCACTTGCCTGCGTGCCCATTCATTTTGAGAAAGCACGCCACAAATGTGTTTACAGCGACTGAGGCAGTGTAAAGGGCGCTGCCTGGGATTCTGCCTTCTTTCTTTTTTATTATAAAGATTTATTTATTTATTTATTTATTTGAAAGTCAGAGTTATACAGAGAGAGAAGGAGAGGCAGAGAGAGAGAGAGAGAAAGGTGTTCCATCCCTGGTTCACTTCTCAAATGGCCGCAATGGCCAGAGATTCACCGATCAGAAGCCAGGAGCCAAGAGCTTCTTCTGGGTTTCCCATGCGGGTGCAGGGGCCCAACACTTGGGCCATCTTCTCCTGCTTTCCCAGGCCATAGCAGAGAGCTGGACCGGAAGTAGAGTGGCTGGGACTTGAACTGGTATCCATATGGGATGCTGGCACTACAGGTGGCAGTTTTACCCGCTATGCCACAGTGCCGGCCCCCTCTTTCTTTCCTTTTTTTTTTTTTTAAGATTTATTTATTTATATGAAAGGCACAGTTTGGGGGAGGGAGGGAATGAGGAGGGAGAAAGAAAATGCATATTTTATCTGCAGGTTCACTCCTCAAATGACCTCAACAATTGAGGGCTTGCCAAGCTAAAGCCAGGAGCCAGGAACTCCAAATGGGTCTCCAAGGTCTCGAGCCATCATCTGCTGCCTCCCAGGCATGTTAGCAGAAAGCTGGATCAGAAATGCCGAGTAACAGGGGCTCAAACCAGGTGTCCCAATACTGGATGCTGGTGTCCCAAGCAGTGGCCTAACCCCCTGCACCACAACGCCCACCCCTCCTTCTTCCTTGCATGCACATGTGCCCCCCCAATCAGGAAGCGCCCAGCTCCTCAATCCCCTTCTGTCTGGGCTCCCCTCGCGGCTTGGCAGCACCAAGAGCATGTAATGAAGATGGCTCCTGGCAGCTTCTGCTTCCTCTCATGGAAGCTGTCACAGCAGAAGTCGGATGGATCACCTGAGACCTGCGTGCTGTGAGGAAACCCAAGGTCCCCACCTAGGAGATGTCTGCTGGGGGGCCGAGAGTCCCAGGCCTGTGTGTGTGAAGCCTTCTTGGGTTGCCTAGTCCAGTGTCCAGCTGATGGAGTTGAGACCAGCCCTACTCTGTGTAGCTGGGCCAGCCCCACTCAAATTTCTGACCCAGAGAATCAGGGGAAATAATTGATGCTCGCTGTGTGAGGCCACTGGTGCTGTGGATATTTTTGTTACCCAGGAAAAAGGTTGCTGAAGGAGGTGGCTGAGGGACCACCTGCAGGTGTTCACCTGCTCTGCAGAGTTCTCTCCACCTGCCAGGTGCTGCTCCCAGCATGGGGATGGAGTGGGGCAGAGGACAGTCAGTGCCTCTTGCCCTGATGGGACCAATGTGCTTGTCCAGGAGACAGCAAAGAGAAGAAAATATCCCACCATGTGACTTCAGAGAGAGAGAGAGACAAAGAAGGGGACCCAATTAGATAAAATAGGGAAGATTTCATGGGGACTCCCTGGATCCGAGGCCCACGTGCTGCACAGGGGCAGAGTGTAAAATGATCAGAGGAGAGGGTGGTGCCAGCAGAGGGAAGTGCACAGGCAAGAGTCACAAAGCACAGAAGGCCTGGGAGGTGAGAGCACAGGGTGGGGAGAAGCAGGGGGTGCGGATGAGATCACAGATGAAGTCACAAAAGTTGGCAGGGCTTAGCGCTGCAGTGTCCAGCTCAGCAGCCCAAGCCACACGGGGCTGTGTAACCCAAACTTAAGCTGAAATTAAAATGCAGCTCCTCGGCCCCACTGGCTACGTTTCAAGCACTCAGTGGCCACATGTGGCCAGGAGCTGCCATGATGGACAGTGCAGATATAGAACATTTCCATCACCGACAAGAGTTCCATTGGCCAGTGCTGGCTCTAGAACAAACCAGAAGTAGACCAGGATCCAAGTTCAAGGTCAGACCATGTGCCCTTGGGCTTGATGTTTCAGTAAATTCCTTAAGATTCTGGTTCTCCCCCGGGAGTTAAAGGAGGTGCTTTCAGCCTGGCAGTGGGTTCCGATTACCCCCAGCTTTAAAAGGCCAAGTCCACCAGCAGTTGAACCCAGGTCTTAGGCGGAGAGCGAGATGGAGGCCTCATCTGCGGAAACTGGCGGCAAAGAGCCCATTTGACTGCCTTCTCTGCAGGCTCGTTTAAGCTGCCAATTTGGGGCTCCCTGATGTGAAAAAAGAACAGAGCGTGGCTACTATTTCAGGGCAACACGCAGAAGGGAAATTGCCACAATTAGCTGAAGCTGATTTCGATTAGCATATTTTCTTCTGCGGCGCATAACATCTGCCGGTGTGCAAACAGTTGCTGGGCCTCGTCCCAGCAGCGCAAGAGGCCTGGGCAGCAAACCAGGTGGGCCCACAGGGAGCCCAACATCAGCCAAGACAAAGTCCAAAAGGGCCCTGAAACAGTGCTCATGGAGCTGGACAAGGTAATGGCAGCTCGTCTTGGGGAAAGGGTGAGAAAGGACGCTGCTTCCCCAAGCAAGTTCTCCTGGAGATCAAGGACGTCTTGATACATCCACAAATGCCCAAACCCTTAGGGCAGTCACTTAACCATCCTCATCTGAGAAACGTGGACAATGACACCCACCTGATGGGGTAAGGGGAGGAATCTGAGAAATAATCCTGAAAATGCACTTGGCATACAGTAGGTGCTCAATAAATGGTAGTTGACTAGTAATCTTTACTGGAGTCAGGTGAGAAAGACAAAAGGGCACAGGGCTGTTTGGTTAGCTCTCAAGTCCCCAGGGTTTCTCCCTCCCTCCCTCCCTCCATCCATCCTTCCAACTACATTAACTCTGGTGCCTGTGTCTGGTGACACAGTAGGGGTGGTGTTTGCTGGCTCCGTCCTCTCCTGGCCACAGGCCCCTCTAGCTGTGGCCCCTGTTCTGTTCCCTTTCCGTGGGATGTCAGACAGAGCTAAAGTGTTCTCGGTATACATGGGCACTAGCGGTGTCTCAGAGCGGAGACTGGCTTGTCCATCGCACACACGAGACAAAGAACGAATACCTTAGCCACCTCCCCTCCTGCCTTACACACTCAGATTGAGCCATGCAGTCCTGGGGAAAGCCAAGCCTGCTGCTGCTGTCTAGACCTGCTGGCAGTTGCAGATGGGAAAATGGTCCCTCCACGTGCAAGAACCCCACAGGCAGATGGTGGGAAGGCAGGAAGAGGCCACAGCTGGGAGGCTGCCTCAGCCAGCTGCAGGTGGCCCGGCTGTGATGAGCCCCAGCCTCCCAGAGATGGCTTTGGTCCCTGCCCCATCCCTGCCATCTTCTTCAACTCCCTCTCCTTTTCCAGTGCTCTAATCCATGCACCATTTCCTGTCCCCTTTGTATTGTCCTAAAGGGAAGGGAAGGGACTTGCTTGCCCCAGAGGATCATGGGGAGCTGGATTGGGACACATGGTGGAGGAAGGGGGCTTCAGCCTCTGACCTCGATTGCAACTCAGAGTGATGCTCCAGTGAATCTGCCACCTGGGAGCCTGGATGCTCTACCTATGAAAAACACAGGTGACCTGGGCCGGGCGGGGCGGGGTGGAGGGTGGGACCGGCTGGCGCAGGTGGTAAGCCGAGCCTTGGAGGTGATGAGAGTCCCATTTCCTGCAGATGCTTACCCAGCAGGAAGAGGCTACGTTGGGGGAGAGTTCGGGGATTGTCTTGATAACTCTCTCTGGCCCATCCACGCCTGTTGTAGGCTCATGACCCAAGTTGCTAGGCCAGCCAGCTGTGCCAGCTGTTGGCTTCATCTCCTTCCACAGGGCCGGGGTGTTCTGAATACCTACCGGGTGCACCTGGGATGTCAGTGGCAGCAGGCTAGCTCGTCTCCGTTGTGGTGGCTCTGTAACTGCAGGCCAGCCCTAGGAGGTTATACCTGAAGCCCTGGGCCCCAGCTCCTCACTGGCCTACATTGTGATGTCACACCACTAGGGTGGCCCCTCAGGCAGGCCAGATGGGGCTGCTGGCATCAGAGGCTGGGGTGGGGTGGGGCAGGAGTGGCAGAAATGACCACTTCGGGGAGCTGTTCTCAGCCAGCACTGCTAAACCAGCCACGAGGTGTGACTGCCACACGGAGAGTGGCACGTGGTAGACACACAGCCTGGGAGACGCTGACGAAACCACCTCACTGCTCACTGCCATTTGCTGCTACTGTTTCTGTCCTCTCTTGGCATAGGTTCACTCAGTGAAACCCAGCCCATCTTTTTTTTTTTTAATAAAATTTTCCTACTGACATTGACTCACAAGAGCATTCCTAACTGCAGGTTTTCTGTGATTGACTTAAAATTCCAAAGCAGCTTTTTCTGGCATCTCCCTGACTTTTCCCCTACTGTGCACCTGCTGTGGCCTAAGGCAAACACAAGAACTTAAATATTAGCTCAGAAAGACAAACAGGAACATACATCAGACCTGCCCCTCTCCCCGCCAGTTCAAATCCCACACAGATGTCTCTTGGGTTATCTTCTACCTTACACATTCCCTGGGCTACTTTCCATTGTGGGCACTTGATAATTAGGTATGGTCTCTAGTTAATCAGTGTCAAAGAAGAGAAGAGGTCAGGAAAGGGGGCAAAGCCTCAGAGGTTTATTTCTAGTGGTAGGGTGGGGTGGGGGTGGGGTGAAGGGTCTTCTAACGGAAGTGCATAGGGCTCTGTTTGGTTGCCCTAGATTTCAGAGACGGGAACAGCAGGTCTCTAACTTCAGGATGTATCAGCATCACTGGAGGGCTTGTTGAAATGCAGATTCCTGGGCCCCATGCCCACAGTTCCTGATTCGGTAGGTATGGGTTAGGACCCACGAAATCCACACTTCCAGCAAGTCACCAGGGGCTGCACTTGGGGAACAGGTGGGTGCTCGTCTCCTGAATTTGACTGTAAAATAGCACTGCCGGCTGGTGGCGGCGCTCATGTGCAGTGGGAGAAACAACCAGGAGCCGGAGCTCTGGGGCCAAAGCTGGCTGAGCTCTCTGGGATCTGTTCACTGTCAGGACCAAGCCAGGTGCTGCGCAGACACAGCTGGCACAGGCCTCTTGGCCTCATGACTTCAGAGGGTCACCTGATCCAGCTCAGGCACCTGTGGCTCTTGGTTTGGGGGCCTTCTCCAGTGGCGGGAGCCTACCTTGGCCTACACCCAGGGCAGCTGCAAGTGCCAGGAGCTGAAGCTTCCCAGGAATGTCCTCAACCACCAGCAGCTGTTGGCTGCCCGCAGACACGTACCCTGGCTCCCTGCTACCCAGGTAGGACAATCTGTGGGCATGTTCTGTACACCTCCCAGAGGTCCCCCAGGGCCTGTGCTTGCAGCGTGAACTAGTGAGAAAGCACGCTCACACAGCTCCTTCCCCAGTCTCACCTCCCTGCTTCCCTGCTGCTGTTTCCTGGGACCGGCCCTCAAATAAACCACTTCTGCTCAATCCTGGTCTCAGGGGAACCCAAGCTAAGACACCATGGATAAGGAACAGTGTTTGTCCTTGCTAAGTTCACGTTTAGAGAGCGACCGATGTGTATTCGGACTTGGGAGTTCCCATATCAAACTCCTCCTACATCCTCCTCCCCATCAACCCTCCTAGGGTCCCCCCAAACAAACCCACAATCCAAGTGAAGTCACTGAGCACAGCAAGAAAATCCTCTTCCGGTGCAGCTCCCAGCCCCCTGCGATGGGACATTGCATGTGCAGAAATTCCAGAATTGCCACAGATGGATTCAGTCACCGCCCGGCCGGTCACCCTCACAGATCATTCTCAGGGGAGAAGGATCTACAATTTTTCTTTCCCCGCCTTTCAACTGGGCTTAAGGAAGAGTGGAGCCCAGTACATCACAGCATTGTTTCAACCACAGTATTCACCTTTTCAGCACCACCCAGGGCTCAAAACATGGTGGGCTGCACACAGCCATTCGCTCTACCTAGGGACAGGAGGATCCGTTTTGTGAAAGGGGCCGGTTCAGAGATCCCAGGATGGAGCTGGGAGATGGAAAGGCCACTGAGTTTCTGCTTTGATGACCCTGGGTCTCAATGTCCACCTTGTATTTTATACTCTCACTGCCACGGAAATGCCTTTGACCTGACAACTTCATAATCTACAATGCAGGGAGACACACAAGCATACATATAAATCTAAATTCTGGGCTGGGGAATATATGCACGAAGATGTTAACGCCAGTGTGATTCAGAATCGTGATCCAATGAAAGCGATTTAAATGCCTAGTAGAGAAAGGAGCAAACAAATGGTGAAGAATTCTCTCATTGGAATCGATGGGTATGAAGATCATGGTGGTGACGGGGAAGGACTTTAGTATGAAATGTAAATTTAAAAAGCAGAGAACACCAAGACTTACACCTGCCTGTGAAAAACATTCAACACCATTAGTGAATGGGGAGGTGGGAATGGAAACCTCGCCCGTTTACCAGAGTGGCTAATTTTTTGGGCTGGAAGAGGAGCAGCCAGGACTCGAACTGGCATCCCAGGATGCCAGGGTTTTAATCTACCGTGCCACAGCGCCAGCCCCAAGAGTGGCTAATATTAAAAAGAGCAACAACCCCAAGTGCTGGCAAGAACACAGAGTGACTCTTGTTCTCCTCCAGTGTGAAATGGTCCAACCACTTGGGAAAGCTGTCTGGTAGTTTCCCATGAAGTTCAATGTCAGACCTCCCCTCTGAGCCAGAAATTCCACCCAAGAGAACTGAGAACACGGCCAGAGGCAGGCTGGTGTTCACAGGTGCTGCATGTATCACAGCCACAAGCTAGAAATAACCTGAATGCCCACGAACAGGTAAGTGCATTAGCACGTCTTTGTGTATTCTTAGAGCAGAATGCTAGTCAGAGACAAAGAGGAACAAGCTATCGATACAGGCACCGAAACACCAACAACCTCAGAAACGTTATGCTGACCAACAGAGACCGGAAATAAAAGAGGGCCACATGTGATTAAATTGATACGATACAGGCACACTGATCTGAGATCAGAAATCGGCTCAAGGGGAGCCAGAGTGTTGCGGGGTTGGGAGAGCTACCACCTGTGAAGCCGGCATCCCACATGGGAGCCAGCTCATGTCCAAACTCTCATGCCACTTCTCATCCAGCACCCTGCTAATGGCCTGGGAAAGCAGTGGCAGATGGCCTACTTGGGCCCCTGCACCCATGTGGGAGACCCAGAAGAAGCTCTCGGCTCCTGACTTTGGATTGGCCCAGCTCTGGCTGTTGTAGTCATTTGGAGAGTGAACCAGCATATGGAAGAACCTCTCTCTGTCTCTCCCTCTCTCTCAGTAACTTTGCCTTTCAAGTAAATAAATAAATATTTTACAAAAAACAGAAATCTGTTCCGTGGTTGTCTGTAATGGGGGTTGGGAGGGATGGGCTAAAGGATGCAAGGCATCTTGGTAGGGTGAAGGAAATATTCTAGATCTTTCTTTGTTCAAGTGTATACATTTGTCAAAACTCATTTACTTATACGCTTAAAGTGCATGAGTTTTTTTTTTTTTTTTAAGATTTATTTATTTATTTGAAAGGCAAAGTTACAGAGAGGCAGAGACAGAAAGAGAGAGAGAGAGAGGTCTTCCATCTGCTGGTTCACTCTCCAGATAGCCAAAATGGCTGGAGCTGCGCCGATCTGAAGCCAGGAGCCAGGAGTCTCTTCCAGGTCTCCCACGCAGGTGCAGGGGCCCAAGGACTTGGGCCATCTTCTACTGCTTTCCGAGGCCATAGCAGAGAGCTGGATCGGAAGTGGAGAGCCAAGACTCAAACTGGCGCTCATGTGGGATGCCAGCACTGCAGGTAGTGGCTTTACCCACCATGCCACAGCACTGGCCCCAAAATGCATGAGTTTTAAAGCATGTAATTTATACCCATATAAGTGAATATCTACATACCACAAACATATACATATATACAGTAAGACACAGGCCAGAAGGAAATACACCAAAATGTAACAAGTGATTTTTTCATGGATGAGATTATAAATTTTTTTTCTCATCTCAGATTTACCAGTTTTTCCTGTATGATTCTATTTTTTATATGATAGAATGACAAAGCTTCACTTTTTAAAAGATTACAAGCTGCTAGAGGCAAGTATTTATAGTGGTCTGCAATACACCACATTTTAAATGTGTGTTTGTGGGATGGAGACCTGTGAATTTTTTCCTCGTATATCCACCAGTCTAAGTCTTCCAGTCAGGCTCAAATAAGCCAGGCTCAAATCTTACATCCCCAACCAAGTCATGCACAGTGTCCTTGCCAGAAATAAACACTGTGTTTAATCATCCACCCTCTTTTCATACATTGTTTCTCTTTAACAACCTCATGTGCTTACCAAGAGCTGGGATAGTATCTTTATTCTTTGTATTCCCAACATCCCCTTGCACAGAAAAAGCACAGAATTTTGGAGAAAATAGCTCCAAGCTGCCATGGGGATGCTATGTACAGTGGCACAGGCTGTTCACTGTACAAACTAAGTAATGATACAAATGGCTACTGTGTGGCTAATGCTCTCCAGCATCGTGCAGAGAGTCCTTGCTCCGAATCCTTGTCCCACCACTTTCTGGTATTGTGATGTTGAGGAAGTTATCACCTGGACCTGAATTTCCTTATCTTTACACCAGGTTCGTTGGGATGGTTGGATGGAGGAAGTGTGTGTTCAATGCCCTCTGCAAACTATAAATCACTCTACAACATTAGATGTGACGCTTTATGTATTAGAGCTAACCCCTGCCTTTCTTTCTAACCTGTTCATTATCTCTATTCACCGGCTTTCACTCGGTCCCTTGAAGTTGTCGCTCACACACACACCCCTCGGGGTCTTTGTGCACACCGTTCCTGCCACACAGACTTCTGCTTCCGCATCTCCCTGCAGCTGGTCCCTTCGGATGACTCAGATTTCAGCTCCAGTGTACACTGAGGCTTTACCTAAGAATCCCAATAACAGCCTCCGCCCCACTG